TGTTAAATAAAAACAGTTTGAAAAATAAAATAAACTAATCTAAGTAAGGGAAGGGGTCATTAAAGGGGAAAAGAAAAAGATACTTCCCTGATAATAATAGCTAAAAGCCTGGTCCTAACGTTATGAGAACGATATCGAAGACCGTTCCAGGGGAAAAGAAGTTACCTCACGTAACGCCTAAGAAATACTAGTTACTGCTCACTATTGTTGAACGGTATATAAATTTTCTCTTCGCGATAAGAGTTTGGAAAAGTGTGGGAAAAGGCATGTCCAAAATTTTTCTGTGAAAAACTTGAAATGATTTGGTTCGATTTTTATACTTAGTAAATGATTACAACTCGAATAAAAAAAAAAAAAGTTATATATTGTTACAGGACGTACTGTATAATTACCTAATAAGTTAATAATGGTCCTTCTCAACTTCACTCATTCACTATTAACTCATGCTCGTTCCCTCATGTTTAATTTTCCTAATTAGGTTGTGCTCATGTTACCAAGTTCATTTAACATTACCGTATTATAAGTGACACCGGTGACAAATTATATCACGTGAAATTTTGTGAAGGTTACGCTATTCTGATGAAACAAAAAATAATCGAGTATTTCTTTAGGCGGAACAAAATATTATAAAAAGATGTAATTTTTTATCACTTTTCCGGGAAAAGATTTTTATACAATAAAATTTTCATTTTTCTAATGCATTTATTAATTATCAAAGATAAAGTAAATAATTAAATTAGTTCTAATGTTTTTATATCTCATAAAAAGCTAGACCAATATATAATTTTAGCACGAATTCTTTCCTCCATCATATGAAATCGATATCAAACGTATTATTCACATTTGAATCTTTTTAACACAGACATTGATATTCCTATCTCAGCACATGCATCATCAAGGTCTCTGAACTTTCTCTTATTTATGATAATATCTGCTCGTTTTTTGTCGATCCCTTTCACTAGCTGGAGTTCTCTTTTATCTGCAGTGTTGATATTCAAAGGGCCTACATTAGCGTAGGCGAACTCCCTACCTGCGAATGCCCCAAAGTATTTACGCCAATTGGATGAATCTACTAAGCCAGAGTTTTCTGGCAACTTGAAATTATTCACCTTTGTTGTAGTAAAAAGCAGAAAAAAATCTCTTGACGACGATGATTTCTCGCGTTCTTCTATGAAATTAGACCCATTGAGAGTTTTTTTTGTCCATTTCTTATACTGGTGCACTTCATTTGGATTGTCATTCGATTTTATATCCAATCCGAGAAATGCATCCCCGTATGGAGCAGATGTTCCGTTTATTATGCAATATCTTCCTTCACGAACATCCACAGTACGATCATCCTCACATTGAATATGTCTACTTCCGATATAATGATCCGAATTCGTATCTTCATGGTGGGTTGCGTATTCCAAGTCTAGATGGTGATTCACAAATCGAAGCTCACCACCATTCAAATACGCACCGGTATGAATGGCAGACATGGTTGTCATTTCTTTATCGTTTATGTTTCTTGATTTTAACGAGCGGAAGGATGCAACGAAATGTTCAAATCGTTGCCACAGTTGAGACGCTGGACTAGATGGGCTTTTCTTTGATTTGTGATCTTCGTAGTCACAAAAACACCAGTCTCTAAGTACTGGATCTTTGCAACCATCAGAAGATTCCGTTAAAATCCACACCCAGACATAAGGAGCAGTCAAATAGCCCGCTTTGGAATCATCTTCAAATTCGTAACGAAGTAGTCCGGGCTGTACAATATGTGAAGGGTATTTTTGCGTACCTGGGATATATTGATCAGGCTCTAAGAGTTGTTGGGTGGTGCAATGGTTTTAATGATACTGGAAGAAAACTCGAGAGCCTCACTATATCTGTCGCGAAGCCGAATTCGCAAATCATTCATAAAATCATTAATATTTGTATTTTTAATGTCCCATTTTTCCAAGATGTCTTGGAGAGCTTCAAGTGCTCTTCCATGTCCACCGCAATCGCTTATTAAAATTTCAATGATATAATCGTCTGATTGAAAAACAGAAGTCAAAGCACCATCTTTATAAACGTTCGGGGGATTTAAAGAAGCGATTGGTAGGAATACTCGTTTACGATGTGTAATATTCAATACATTATCAACGGAACCAGTAACAGTTGCAGTACACAAAGGAATCAAAAAGACATCCTTCAGAGCAAGGTCGTGTATGTTTGTTATTGTTTTGAAAAACTCAGATGTTCGGATATTCCAATCATCAATCGAACGAATAATGTTCTGCAAGCCATCAATGATTAAAAAAATAGTAATATCATTCAGATTGCGTTTTTCATGATTTGCAACCAATTGGATAACTTCCCATGGAAGTGGCGCCTTGTAATTCGCAATAATTAGATCCAAATGCTGGTCTGGAAGAAGTTGTGAAAGCATTCGTGTACCAATAGCACGATACGCGCTCGATTCCACACCTTGCCTCATACTATCACCATTTTCGAAGCTAACCTTGAACACCCAAGCATTCTGAATTCGTTTCTTCAATTCTGAATCCGTATCGTCTGATAAACATTCTAATGCAGTCTTTTGGAATTCCTCTGCGTTTCTAGACTTACCAGTACCAGCTCCGGATAGGAAAAGGTACATTTGAATATAACTTTTGTCATTATTTTTATTAAGAAAGTTTACGTCCCGCAACATTTCATGCAAATGTTGATCCGGTTGGTACACCCATTTCGAACCTGTACCATAGAGTAAGGGTTTCGGTCCTTTATATGGTAGGCCTATTAGAGTAATGGAGTGTTGGTTAGTCCCAGTATAAACTTAAGTGCCTAGAATAATAAATGATATACCTTCGGGGAAAGAATTAGCGACTTTTAATTTTCCGGAACTCTACTGTGTTATGAAACAATAAAAGTTAGCACGTCACGTTCGTGTTGACCAATCATTACGACGCAACGGATTACCTAGATGTTCATCTAAATTGGGTTAGGAGACCAAAAAAGGCAAAGTTAGTTACCGGACAAGAATACGATATGGTCAGACTGTAGAGTTTTTTGGAAGTCAATAATACAGCTCAACTTACTGCTAATTTTAAAGGCTTCGTTGATTTGCTCAGGTGTGGCTTCCGGAACACGTTTTATATATTCGTCGAAAAATTTAAAATAGTTCATCTTTATTTTAGCTAAATATAAAAGTAAAATAAAAAAAAACGATTTAAAAGTAGCTTTAAAATCAAAATAATGAGAAGTAAAACCTGAAAGGTGAATAAAAGAAAAATTAATTGAGGAGTGAGTTATTTTCTTGAGATATTATATATGATTTAAAATTTTAACTTTATCAAGCTATATAAGCGCGTCCAAATCTGAATGAGCTTATGAGCTTGATCTTCATTGATCATTATGAGAACGCCGATTCTTTATACTGATCTTAAATTATCTTGATAAGAAATGATTATAAAATTCAAGTCATCGTGAACATATCGGATTCACCCAATACGTGATATGACTTAATTTTTTTTTATATAATACATACTAAAAATATAATTTTTTTAGAGAGAAATGTTATAAAATGTATGATGCTGAGGATCCTAGACCATTTAATGCGAGTCCCAGCATCTTTATTTCTTTGCTGTCGCATTTTTAAGAAGTTTGACGCTTAATTTTTTATTACAAGCCAGATATGGGCAAATTATTTTTCATTGATAGCGAACACAAAATTTATATTTGAGTATGTATATACACATAAAACAATTAAAATACGCACATATGTTTAAAAAATTCAAAGTGAAATCTTTATTATATTTTTTGTTGTAAAACAATATATGAGAAAGGGCCGGCCGGCTAAGTAAAAATGAAACTAATAAAGTAGATCACGTTTAAAGGGAGGAATAAAGCACGAAATGAAATAATATCATGCTTTCCGCCGAGCCCTAATCCGTATAATGGCAGTTCCTTCTCACTACTCCGCATTATTATTAAATTCTTTACTATCTACCCATCTCATAATTAATATTACTATACTATACTTCAGATCACCAAGACCATAATAAAAGTTTTTTTATACAGAGGGTGGATAAAAGTATCTGCACACTATTTTCTACATCAAATTGCTCAATAACTACTGATTCAAATTACACTAAATTTTTATATATTATAGATAAAATCTCAAACTATATTGCATAAAAATTTTATGTAATTTCAATCAGTGGTTGTAGAAATATTCGCTAATTCATATTGTACAAATTTTAAAAATGATAAATTATAACCAATATTATTTATTATTATTTATTTTATCATTCAGCAATTCAAATTAAACAAGATTTTAATATATTATAAAATTATATTACAAATATCAAATATCAAAATTTTAGTTAATTTGAATCACTGGTTTATAAATTATTTATATAAATATATTATCAATAATAAAATTAAAATATGTAATAAATATTAAATCTTTAAATATTATGTTTGTTACAAATTTAAAAAAAAACTAATAATTCAAATTAAATAAAAAAAACTCTTTTTGCTAATCTTCTCATCAAAATATCACCAACAACAAAAAGACAAAGCAACTATAAAAAAAAGCCTAAACTATATAACAAAAGTATCTCAAACAACTTAAAAAATAATAAAGAAACTGCTGCTTTATCTGCTAAAGATAACAACAAAAATAAAAAATGAAGAAAATATCACTAACATTACTAAAAGACAAAACTCAAACTCCCAAAATCTAATAATAATACAATAGAAACAGAAATTCCCAATACTACCAAACACATATCAGTTTCTACTCAAGCTGCTTCTAATATTATCATACCAAATATTATTATTAAAGACTTAAAAGTTTTCAAAATAGAATTAGATACTTTTAATACAACTTCACTTTTCTCTAAAAAAGGGTTTGACACTAATGACTAAAGATGGTCACCGCAATTAAAAAAAATGACGCAATTGAGTTGCAACTTGTGGCACAATTAAATTTCCTTATGGTGTAATTAAGTTGCAACTCAATTGAAATTTGAAAATAATTATGGGGACCATCTTTACTAATGACTCTATACATATAAAAATAAATAATACCAATAATAAGTCTATTCCCTTTAACTCTATAGTCGATAAAAGTAAATAAAAACAATTTCTTAGACTGACTAAGTAAAAAATAATGTAAACAAACTAGACCAATCATGTAATAAAGATACAGATAAAATTCCTTTCAATATCATTACCTTTCTGATGTGTTTTTTCACACCAGATAATACTGTAAATATTACAAGAAAATCTATTGCTAACAAATGCAATTTTATCAATAGATTATTCATTAACTTTCTAGAATTTCAAGATGTCTCATATAACTCTAAATTAAAAAAATTCTTTATTTACTTTTACTTTCTTAATTAACTAATATATATTGTTACTAAAATTCTAGATAAGTTAAATTAACTCATAAATCAGATAAACTAAGTCAAATTCAAATTAAGTTGAATTTATATTTTTTTGACTTAATAATTTACGAGTCAAATTGAATTTGAGTCAAATTAAATATTTAACTCAACTTGATTTAAATTTGACTCAAATTTAACTCAATTCAAGTTAATTTAAAATAATATTATTAATAAATTAATATTTTAAAACTATAAGAATTATACATTATAATATAGTAGTTACCAAAAAAATGCAAGTGAATATTTTTTAGGTTAAAAGTCTATAATTTATTAATTATAATGCTAAAAGTTATAATTTTATATATTTTTTTAATTTTTAGGTTTTGAAGATTATTTTATATTAGAAAATTTTTTTAAATAAGAATATTAATTTTATATAAATTATTAATTTATATTAAAAATCTGTATTTAGTAAAATTTTGCTAGTAGAAAAAAATTTTAAGTAGCATAAGTAGGATAATGCTCTTTATATATATACTAACTTTACTTATATAACATAAATAGAATTAGCATATATATAAAAAGTATTATTCTACCTGCATTATTTAAGATTTTTTTCTATTAGCAAAATTTTACTAAATACAGATTTTTGATATAAATTAATAATTTATACAAAATTAATATTCTTTTTTCTGAATTCAAATGTAATCATGTTGAATTTTTAAACCATTTTATGCAAAATTAATATAAATCTTGTAATGTAAAGCTGTTAACAAAAGTATCAGTAATAAATAAATATATTTAAAAGCTGAAAATGATATATTTATTATCATGTTTAAATATCTAATTAGTAATTATATATAAATGATCAGAATTTGAAGAAATGTTAAAAAAATAGACCAAGCAAAATGTAATTAGAGTGATATCAGATATCTATAATAATAAAATATAAAAAAATTTTTCATCCTGTTTAAATATGCCAGGTTATAAATTATTTACAATTGAAATTGCAGATTCAAATCTTAAACTTTTAATTAATTTAGATTGATTTCAACTATTTGAATCATTAATCTATAGTTATAAAGTAATTTATCATGTAATCTATAACTTTTCATATGATATAAGATTTAAAAAAGAAAATATACTTACTTTAGCATTATTACTGGTATCTCAGAAAGTTAAATTATACTGAATTAATAAATACCTGTAGCTGATTATTAATAAATTATTAAAACTTTAAAATAAAATCAATTTACTAATAATAAAAATTTAATTTTCAGCTTAATTATCAAAGAACTCTTTAATAAAAAATACAATTATTTATTAATAGTTTTAACTAAAGTTGCAGCATAAAATATTAGTAAAGAAACTATACACTCTAGTTTGAAAATTTATAAAATATTAAAAGATTTCCAGTTTTTAGAATTTTATAATATGACTTTTTTGAATCATTAAAAATATTAATATTTTAATTATTAATGGTATATAATGATATCTATTTTTCTTTTTATTCATTTCTAATATATTTTTAATTATCAAATAATAGACAATTACATTTGGCAGTTTTTATATTATAATAATTAATAATCTAATTTAACTTTCTCCTGTATTTAAATTACCTGTTTATCATTCATCTGAATAGAAGTTATTCTATTTATTATTTTAAAATATTTATAAAGATAATATTATATGCAAATTTATAATATGTAGTAAAAAATTAGATTAGGTTAAAATTTTTTATAAATATAAAATCTTTTATATAAGAAAGCTAAGAATTACAATTATTACTAATCCTTGATATAACAGTATTGGCAAATTTCAAGGTTATTTCCCTTTTTGAAGTAATCTAGATTACTTTGTATATAATTACGTGATAGATTTTATAGTAAAATTATCACATGATTAGATTATTTTAAGATTACTTTAAGATCATTTGCTAATACTGTAATATAATACTCAATATCACAAATATCGTTGGCTATAAGTAAACTGTAAATTATATTAATTATACATCTATAATCTACTTTCTGTTAATAAAAATAAATTCTTTTTTAACATTATAATTAATTACATAAGTAAATAATATTATAATTCAGATGACTTGCAAAAATTATTCAAATAAAAAACAAAATTTTCTATTCATTTATGTCTATAATAAGATACTTATATTATATATCTTAAAAATTATTTAATAGAAAAATATATATAATAGAACTATTAAAATATTAACATTTTCTTTATAAAGTAAGAATGATATTTAGTATAATAGGAAGTATTATTAATATTATAATCAAAAAATAATCTGATGCATTTATTATTAATAAAAAAACTATTAATTTTTCCTGCAAAATACTTTATATTTACAGTTTATAAAATATAAAGTTTGATCTTAAAAGAAATTTTTATGTATTTAGACCAGAAGATTTTACCTTAGGTTTGGTATATATTATATTAAGTTGTAATACTAATTAGTCAAAAGTATATATTACTTTCTTTCATTCTTTTACATTTATTATTAATACATTAATGATTTAAGATATAGACGTTTTCAAAAAAACCTTTATATTCTTACCATTTTAAATATAGTTATCTTCCTTTATAATTACCTTTCAAACCAAAAATAAAAAGTATGATTATAATAAAAGTGACTATATAGAGGATTTTATATATTGTTATTAGAGTATAATTAGTAATATAATAATTAGTCCGGAGCAAAGCGAAGGACTTTCACATACTAGTCACATGTTATACGAGGTGTCCCGTTGTCCGCCCGCTCGCAGCTTGAGCTGA